TTTTAAATACCTGTGTCTAATTGACATCCAGTAATATGATTACATGCTGTCTCGGAACAGTTACACATAGACAGACATCTTTTTCCATAGCTAGGAAATCTACAGGGATCTGAGCAAGTCCTGCCATAATATCCAAAATTACAATCTTTGAAAAATAAAAGATCGAATAATTATTTACATGTGTATATCAAATATCAAACCTAAATCATGAACCGAAGCAAATACTTGGTGGCTATATTCGTAGATATTGCTATTCAAAAATGATTTACGAATTTCAATTTCTTTTTTATTTTTCCGCCATTCAAGTTACAATGATATAAGTATATTTTATATAAACATTGTGGATTTTTATTTAACATTCACTAACTGATTCTCTCTGTTCTCTCATTCTAGTAATACCATAATAAATGTACCATAATAAATGTACTATAAAATATGTATATATATATATATATATATATATATATATATATATATATATATATATATATATATATATATATATATATATATATATATATATATATATATATATATACACAATGTTTAACATGGTCAGTTAAAATTCGAAGGTTTTCCCTATAATTGCACCTTGTACAAGTATTGATAAATCAGATAAAATTATAATGCCCATCTATTTCTGAAATGGATACCTTCCGTATTTAGTGCAAACAAATCCAGTGCAAACAATTACCTAGAAAAAAGTCATATCAAAATCAATGTTCATTAACTATTTTCTACAGTAAATGTCTAAATTTTTAAAATTTGCATTTTGAACCTTGAATTTATTACTTGCAACTATTAAAGTAACCCTAACAAAAGAATACTATAGTTAATTATGAATAATATCAAAGTTTTGACTATTGTAAATCAAAGTATTTTTAGAGTGGATTTCAGATTGTTATTTTTCATGTAGATTCGATAGAGTGAAACGAACGCTTTGGAATCAGCTTCCAGTGAAACTTCGACAAATTGACAAGTTTGAGGTTTTTAAAAGGGAACACTCAAGACTCAATTTTTTTTATGCCCCCGTATCAAAGATTCGGGAGTATATAATTTTTGCCCTGTCCGTCCGTCTGTCTGTCTGTTTATCCGCAAAAACTTTAACATTGCCCATAACTTTTGATTGGTTAGAGCTATGGTTATCATATTTCATGTGTATTTCTTGTGACAAGACCGTTTTTGGGTACCATTATATTTGACCTTTTGACCTTGGAATTTGACCCAGTTTTGCAAAATTTTACCCAATTTTAACCTTGGCCATAACTTTTCAACAATTGGTGCTAGGGCTTTCATCCTTCACATGTGTAATCCTTGTGACAAGACCTTCCTTTGGATACCAAGAACTTAGACCCTTTGATCTTGACCTTGGAGTTTGACCTACTTTTGAAAAACTTTAACCTTGGCCATAACTATTGAACCGTTGGTGCTAGGGCTTTCATACTTCACTTATGTAATCCTTGTGACAAGACCTTCCTTTGGATACCAAAAACTTTGACCCTTTGGCCTTGACCTTGGAGTTTGACCTTCTTTTGGAAAACTTTTACCTTGTTCATAACTTTGAACCGTTGGTGCTAGGGCTTTCATACTTCACATATGTGATCCTTGTGACAAGACCTTCCTTTGGATACCAACAATTATAATCCATTGACACTGACCTTGGAGTTTGACCTACTTTTGAAAAACTTAAACGTTGGTCATAACTTTTGAACGATTGGTGCTTCAGCTTTCATATTTTACCAGTATATTTCTTGTGAGAAGGCTTTTCCTTAGACACCATTAATTTTGACCATTTGACCTTGACCTTGATGTTTGTACCAACATATTTGATTTGCATCTGAGAAAGTTTAACCTTTGCTATAAGTTCCCATACGTGGGCATCAGTGTTTCACAAACACCTCTTGTTTAGAGGAGCCTTTCTTTGAAGTGTGTATATACTCAGTATTGAAGATCTAGAATAATACTGCACTTCGAGGGTGTATATTGACAAAAAAGCAGTTATTATTTAATATTATCATTTAATTATATAAACTCGAGAAGGATATCTCTCAATTCTTCTCGGATTTTAATTAAGGTTCTTGAACGCAGTGAGAAAAATATTTTTAGGATGAAAAAAAAATTATCCCCCCCCCCCCGCCCCAAAAAAAATCAAATCTCATGTTCACCTGGAAGGTAAGGCGTATTTGATTAAAGATTATATGCTTACTAGAATAATATTGGATCTCAGTCAATCAGTAATCTAGAAATCAATTTATTATTAAAAAAGGAATTGATGACTTTTTTTTTAATAATCGACTTATTGAAGACAGTTGTTTATTTCTAACATTTTTAGAAAATAATATAAAGGAATTGAATTAAAAACAGGCTAGTAAAAATAGTATACATTCACATTACAAATGCGTCTTTTTACAATTTCTCATGTCTCATGAGTAGAAAATAATTTCACAAACATTTGAAGTCAGTCTAAAATACAAGATTGTGATTCGAATTTTTTTTTACAAATTATATATATATATATATATATATATATATATATATATATATATATATATATATATATATATATACTTCCTCAATACAGACCTGAACTATTTCGACATCCATTGACTATGTCACAAAGGTCCTGGGTGCAGTTGCATTTTTGTTGACATTTCCCCCCATAGCTCGGATATCTGCAGGGATGAGCACAATTTGGGCCGAAAAAACCTACTTTACAATTTATGAAACAAACTTTTTATTTTAAATTTTTTGAATTGAAAGCAGATTTTCATAAGACAACAAGCAAAAAAAAAAAAAAAAAAAAAAAAAAAAAAAAAAAAAAAAAAAAAAAAAGGAAAATAGGGAATACCTGTACATGTCTTTGAATCTTTATTCCAGTATTAGCCGGTGAGACAACATTTCAAATCATTATTACAAGTTTAAGTAGCACTGAAAAATTATATATAATTAATGACAAGAAACATAGAAAAATATCGTCGTATTTAATTACCCTTAAAGATGATGTCGAACTATAATTACCGTTGACAAGTTGAATCTACAGTTGCAATAGCATAGTATAAAATCAGAAAAAAGATGTTTATACTCTCCATTTTCGATCTACATTTTGACAAGGAAGACAAATGACACACCAATCTATTTTAAACAAATTTCCTGTTATTGATACGGACACAAAAGGTGCCAATGAACGATGCATGTAGCTTTATTTTAAAACTTAGATATCCTTCACACATGAAATTGTAACCGGTGCCCCGAATCAAAGCAACTGCTTTGGTCAGTAAACTATGACAAAGTTAATTCGTGCAGAGTCTTACCTCACTGAAAGGTCACGTGTGTTGAAAACTTTTTACGAGAAAAAAATTATTTGAAGATAACATTTGAAATTCATTTTTTAGATTTTTTTATTATCTTAGCTAAAATAATAATAATTAAAAAAAAACAAGCTTTTACTGATCGAAAATATCGAAAATGCTTGATTGTAAACTTATAAGTGTGAAATTTTCATAACTAGAATTGTCATGAGGAAGTAATGCTTATCAATACTCAAATGAGTAATGTTTATGCAGTGGTTGTTTCATATCTTTTTACAGCAACGCTCCCTATATTACTATAAGCTTGATACACTACAAGATGGTATTTTAGCAAATCAGCTTAAAAATATATCACCTGAATTTACTATTTTTATCGTAGTGAAGTCCGCATGTTTCTGATTTGTACAACTCATCAGATATTATTCCCTTTAAAAACATGCAAATTGTATGATATGAGTTGAATATCTCTTGATCCAAGTGAAGAAAAATGGAAAATGTAATTTAAAAAATCGTATTTCATATCATTATAAATCAGTAGCTAGCCATTTTGGTACATATTTTGACTAAAATATAATATGTTGACTTGAAAAGATGTGTTTGTGAAACACTGATGCCCACGTATGGGAACTTATAGCAAAGGTTAAACTTTCTCAAATGCAAATCAAATATGTTGGTACCCAAAGTAAGGTCTTGTCTCGAGGAATATACCTGTGAAATATGAAAGCCTAGTAGCAACCATTGAATAGATATGGAAAAGGTTAAAGTTTTTCAAAAGTAAGTCAAACATCAAGGTCAAGGTCAAATGGTCAAAATTAATGGTGTCTAAGGAAAGGCCTTTTCACAAGAAATTTACTGGTGAAATATGAAAGCTGAAGAACAAGTCGTTCAAATGTTATGACCAACGTTTAAGTTTTTCAAAAGTAGGTCAAACTCCAAGGTCAGTGTCAATGGATTACAATTGTTTGTATCCAAAGGAAGGTCTTGTCACAAGGATTACACATGTGAAGTATGAAAGCCCTAGCACCAACGGTTCAAAAGTTATGACCAAGGTAAATTTTTTTCAAAAGTAGGTCAAACTCCAAGGTTAAGGTCAAAGGGTCAAAGTTCTTGGTATCCAAAGGAAGGTCTTGTCACAAGAATTACATAAGTGAAGTATGAAAGCCCTAGCACCAACGGTTCAATAGTTATGGCCAAGGTTAATGTTTTCCAAAAGTAGGTCAAACTCCAAGGTCAAGGTCAAAGGGTCTAAGTTCTTGGTATCAAAAGGAAGGACTTGTCACGAGGATTACACATGTGAAGGATGAAAGCCCTAGCACCAATTGTTCAAAAGTTATGGCCAAGGTTAAAGTTGGGTAAAATTTTGCAAAATTGGGTCAAATTCCAAGGTCAAGGTCAAAAGGTCAAATAAAATGGTACCCCCAAAACGGTCTTGTCACAAGAAATACACATGTGAAATATGATAACCATAGTTCTAACCAATCAAAAGTTATGGGCAATGTTAAAGTTTTTGCAGACAAACAGACAGCAAGACAGACAGACAGACGGACGGACAGGGCAATAATTATATACCCCCGAATCTTCGATACGGGGGTATAAAAATCTCATAAGCCTAATTCCAATTATTTCTCAGTATTTTTTTTGCCTAAATATTTCATCATTATTTCAAATTTAGAATCATCAGAATTCTAAAATATGAAAAGAGGAAAGGGAAAATATATGCTCATTTATTTCCTAGTTTTATTCATTCAGGTAAGACCTTGTTTAATATTCTAAATTTCACTGTTTTCTGTCAAATATACTAATAAACGTTTCCAGATCAAATGTACAACATAAAATTAACCACTATCTAAAATTTTTGTATTAATGGAACAACTTTTTCAATGGCCTATAGACAAATTTTGCTTATTTTTCCCCATTAAACTTTCTTTGAACACATTCCCTTGTCCTCTTTCAATGAATAAAAAAACCTGTAAAACAGCGTGCCGGTTTTGCCACTTTTGTGAGTTTAATGATAAAAACATTTGAAATTCTCAAAGTAAACTTGATTGTGTAATATAATTAAAACAGACACAAAGTTTGCATATTAGAAATAAATCAATTCTTTAAAAGTAAAATAGCTTCAGTTTATTTAGATGCCTTTTAATTTCAGATCTTTGATAACGTTTTAAGCTGTCCTGCATCAATACCTACTATATCTTATGTATCTTATTGTCCGAGAAGTCAAGCAGAGTGGGAGAAGGCAGCCCAAAGGAAGAATTGTGAGAGTATAGCAGTAATTCAGAACTGCACTACTCGGAGTAAATTTCAGTATCATTGTTTAATGAATCAATGGAAAAATGCTACACTGGAAGTATGTGCACCCATTTTCTACTTACAAGGTAAGTATTTTATCAAGTTTAATATGTATATAAGTGCATGCTATAAATATAAATGGGTCAATGCGAAAGAGTGAAGACAGCGCAATGTTTGATTGCTAAGATAATTCTTAATACTTATGCAATTTTTAGGATATTGCGCCGAATACAACGTTGAAATACAACAAGTGGCAGAAATCTACGATAAAGGATTTGAATGTCTGAAGTTTCCCGATATACACAAATGTCCGCCAAGATACCCGTCCAGTGAAGCCTACAAATGTAAAGTCAAGTTAAGCGTGTATTTGAATAAAGATACAAATGTTTCACATTTATTCATTTAAAGTATTTTTTTCTGTAGATCAACAGTGTTATAGATACAAGATAACTAAGACAATAAGGTAAAGATTAAATCTAACTAAGTAAAAATTTAGTCACTTTCTTGAGTAATTAACAGATGTAATAGTAGATGATGAACTTGTAAATGATATTAAGTTCACTATATTCTTGAGAGAGAGAGAGAGAGAGAGAGAGAGAGAGAGAGAGAGAGAGAGTAGTCATGTTATTTATTATTTTTATTTCAGTTTTAAAGACAACAGTGTGATTGCGCTTGTGTTTATTGTCATCGTTTTAATTCTATTTGGTATCGTTGCCTTCGTAATTGTGATGTTAAGGAAAGGAGTTTTTGATAAACTCATTAAAGGTACAATCTACTTTGTACAGAATGAGTAAAAGATATAAGGCCATAAATAGCAATTTGTGCCTGCATAACATAAATGCATTGAAAAAGGTTTGCAATTGGTTTTTATGGTTTCAAACATGAACTTACACTTTTCAATCTGTCCATTTTCACCGACCCCTCCTCTGACCATATCCTTATGTTTGACTTCTTCACGATTCTCCAATCATTTTTTTACGCTTTTAATTCTCTGAGGAAAGTGTTATAACATCATATATTTCAAGCATGAGTTTTTTCATGTTTCACCTCTTTTTGTTATTTTCACCTTTTACATTACAAAGATGCACAAAGATACTTTTACTTCTACAACAACAAATAGAATTGTTCAAATAGCATGGGTCAGGCTGACGATGAGTCCCTAAATTATGAACCCCTTTTTGAAATATGAAGATAACGTTAACAGTTAAAAAGCTCAAAGATCTATTGAAAAAATACAAATTTGGAGCAGAGCAAAAATTGACCTCAAACATCAGAGGTGGGATCAGGTTCCATGAAGAAGAAAACATCCCCTGTTGACCGGTCACACCTGCCGTGTGCTTCTTATCATGATCGGGCAAAAAACCCATAGACAATTCAGTGTGAAAATAATTGAATGACAAATAAATGCAGATGATATGATTGATTATTGTTGTTTTAAACCGAGTTGGCAATATTTTAGCCATATTTTGCGGTTTTTGATACAATTATATATTTGTGAATATGGTTTGATATTAATCAACAAATATGAATAATGACCGAGGTGAAGCCTTGGTCAATATTAATATTTTTCTGGTGAATATAAAACCGTATTCACAACCAAAAGAGTCCACAATTGTTTTATTATATAGTCTAGATTCGAATAAATAAGACAATTGAAGGTTGCATGACATAATTTTCATTTACGAAATTCTGGCGCATAAACATTAAAAAATGTCCAGACTACATGTAAAAACTTGCCTGTTTTCCTTTGTTAGTGCGTGAGACATCGTTTTCCGTCGAAATACTTGTATACAAATATGGCTATATGCTTGCCTAAAGATTTCCCTGCTCAGATATACAGCTCCCCCCCTCCCCGGTTGCAATTATTATTTGAGGTGTTGTTTGTGACATCACAATCGACGCTGCACACGCAATAACCCTATCGTAAATTCGGCCTCAAATCCGTAAATTCGGCCTCAAATCCAGTGAATATGTTTTCTGTGAACCGTTTGCAATTGTATAGATTATATAGGGACTACAAATAGACTATGGGATAAGGGAAGTTAATGATGGAAAGGTTTAAGTGATCACGTTTATCATAAAGTTTTGTTCAGTTACCATCAACTTCTTTTTTTCAAGTCAAATATCCAAATATGAAACAAATGTAATAGACCCTGTGGTATCTTTTATTTCGAGTTCAAAGCGATAATTGAATCAACGTACATGAAGGAATGAAAATGAATATCGTTAATTGATAAAACTTCGTTAATATATCTAAGTGTTTAATTGAAGGCCATAGAAAGATGCTTATTCTTTTCATGTATAAGTTTTTGAATTAAGTTTGCTTCATATGGATACGAAAATAGGTCACCTATTAACAAATTCAGAGAAATATTAAAATAAAATCATTTTTTTCTCCAGGGTCTAAGCAGACCAATGAGGATTCGGAACAGAATAAAAAAGGCAAGTCATAATGAGAAAATTAAAAAAGTGAATTAATCTTATTATTATAAAAATAATTTTTTTTATACATATCAAAACTGTGAAATTCATATATATTGCATCTGTATTGAAAATAAACAAAGTCCTTGAAAGTCTCCATAATCGATGATTATAAGAAATTATTCCCCAACAAAAATTATGAAATGTTCCATTTTTCCAGAGTTCAGTTCTGAAGATTGGATTATGATATTGAAAAGTATCGTTGAAAATCCTCTTACTGATGGACATAAAGTGAAGTCCTATAGCAACAATTTCACATTCTTAGTCTGTGTCCAAATATAAGGTCCCAAATATGGGCTGAGTCGATAAGCTATTGATATTAAATACTGTGTTAAAATATTTTACATTTTTGGAGGCACAACAGAAAAAATAATTCGTGATAATAATTAACAGTAAGCTTTATACTTAAAAAAAAAGAAGTATAATTCAGGGTCATTGGGTCCAGGATTCAGGACTAAGTGTGGACCTGATTTTTTTATACTGAAAAATCATGAATACAGTTAACAATCTTTAATCATTGTCTGAAAGTTTATTATATTTTTTCCTTACCCCTGGAAATTAAGTAAATAAACAACATACATTAAGTCAATGAGAAAGCTATATGCTTTTTATCAAAATTATGAAAGAAATTTTCAGGAGGATAAATGTTTTAGGCTAAATTGGTCATACATTGAATACTAATTGAAAATTTTCTTTGCAACTGTACATAATTAAGGCAAGAAAATGATTCATCAATTTCATCAGCTTACTGTAGCCAAAGTCCGAAATGAGCTTTTCTGGTCGAAATGTCATCGTCGTTCGCGTCGTGAACTCTTCACAATCACATGTTCTTGTCCAGAGTCACTGGGCCGATATCAACAAAACTTGCCACAAAGTATCCTGGAATGTCTATGGTCCGTGTTTTATGCCCTGCTCACAAATTTGTATTGATTATAGATTTATATGAGATCGAATACTGTTCATTATCTTCACCTTGTCATTTAATCAAATGAGATACCTCGCCGTCCTTCAAAGGTAGATACACAGTATTGTAGAAAAAGTCAAAACTGAGAATGGCCATTTAAAAATGTTTTTCAAGAACCACAGGACCAGAAAATATGAAGCTTGCATGAAACTTTTCTACTTGATGTGAAGTCACGTTTATTTAGCATGTCCCCTGAGAAAGATTGTGCCATTCTAGGGGATCGAAGTTTTACATAGAAATGTATTATTTAAAATCTTCTCAAGACCAGGGGGCATGATTAATGATATTAATATGCAATCAGTCACAGATAGTGCAAATACAAATTGTTGAACTAATGGCCCCTAGGGGTAGGGTAGAGTCACAATGAGAGATCAAGGTCTAATTGAGATGCTTCGGAAATTAAGTAAAAAAATCTTCTTAACGAGGTTCGTTCCTTAGCTTTTGAGCAGGTTTTTGTCTAGACCTCTATTTTAAAAAAATTATGCATAATGTTTTAGTTCTTACAATAAATTTGAATTCTGCAATGCTAATTAAACTATATTCAATTAAAACCCCATGATTAAATTCCATACTGAAAGCATTAAATGAGGAACTATAATTTGGGGCGGAAGGTTTTATAGAAGAAAATGACTATTTTTTCTCATTTAAAATATTAACATTATTGTTAAGTTTGGATTCCTATTTTTACATGCAGCCTGCACACAGAGTTATTTTGTGCAGTGAAATGTTTTATGATGGTCCTAAATGATATATTGAATTAACCGTCATGAATTCTATCATCATCTTGGACAAATATAACAAATATTTGTGAAAGTCCTGGGGAAAAATAGCCCATTTTAGGCTAAAAATTAACACTATTTTAGTTATTTCTAAACATTAACATCACAGACCCTCAGTTATAATTTTATTTTCTGAATATACAAAATAATTTTAACCATTCTGCTTAAATTCAGAAAAATGTCATTACTTTCAAATGATTTTATTGCTTGTTAAATTTTTAATGCCAGAAAAATGACATTTTCTGAGCGCAAAAAGGTCAAATAATTGACTATGCGAAGTAATCTGAAACTGTTTTTGTTGTCACAAATTTTAAAGAGACTATTCAAGACGAAAAAAGACTGTGTTTGTTTCCATAATTTATTTGGATAAAAAATATTAGAGGAAAAACTTTGAAAAATTGATTTATGTATTAGACGTAATTACATTGCAAAAAGGTCATATAAAATGCTCCATAGCGCCGAAAGAAGCTCATTGATCCCATTTTTGGTTTTGATTTTTAATTAATCTATGTCCATAGATTCCAAAAATATATTTGATGAAAAATTCTCAATACTTTTGATAACAGGATCCAACCTCCTTAAGAACAGCATGCTCAGTAATACTAGCATTCGCAAATGGTGCAGACTGAACTTTGTTCAACTCATGAATCTGATCATAGAGTGGGGCCACTTATAGGAAATCGAAGTCGTAGAGAATGAGAATATATAGGAAAAATATAAAATCCTCTTTCTAAGAATAGCAGGACCATGATTGAAGATATTTATATATAAGCATCCTCGGGAAGGGCAGATTCAAGTTTGTTCTTTTCATTTCATGACCACAGGGTGGAGCCACAATGGGGGATAAAAAATCAAAATGAAATTCATAAAGATTTTATCTTAAAAACACTGTTAAGGACCTAATTTTTCATTGTCACCAGGTATATAGTTTGTTTTCCTATGTAGAAAAGAAAATTGCGAACTTTTGAAGATACTATATAATTAAAGTTTATGACGAATTTAGCTTCAATGATCAAATTGAATGACCTTTCAACATTGTAGAACATTACATTGGTCTAGATTTATGTATATGTATATCTAAGAGGAGCAAATGATAAAAGAAACTTTGGTAATCAACTCG